TCCGCGCTGGGTCACCCTGGTGGCGCCTTCAGCGCCGCGCTTGGCGCGCTCCGCGCGCCAGGGAGGGGGCTCCTGCGCAGGCGCAGATCCAAGAAATCCGCGCGGAGCGCCAACAGTTCATGTTTATGGCGATGTTTTGTCTTCTAGGACAACAGCCTGTCCACGCAGATCGACCAGGGGCAGCTTCTCCGGTGGCCCTGCACGCGGCTGGAAGACAACGTCTGCGGCGGAGGGGCGCACTGGAGCGTCCCGGAGTGGATTGCCAACTGCCTCTCGCTGGGCGGCATCTGCTTGGACGGCCAAGCGTACACCTACGACTGCGACCCTGTTCTGGCGTGCACGGACATCGACGAAGAAAAAACACCATAAACAGAAACTTTGACGCTCCGCGCGGATTTCTTGGATCCGCGCTTGGCCCCCCAGGCGGCGCCTCCGGCGCCGCCCCTGGCGCGCTCCGCGCGCCAGGGGGGGGGGGGTCCAGCGCAGATCCAATAAGTCCGCGCGCAGCGCCAAAAGTTGATGTTTTTGGCGTTTTTTGTTCCCTAGGACAGTCTATCTGATTGGGTAGACGCTGGAGGCCGAGGCTGTGGTGAGTATGCAGAGTCCGACTTGTGCACCAGGTCTGGCGGCTATGGAAATGGATGGGGACGCGACCAGCAAACTTTCGAGTATTGGGCTGTTGGTGGGATCGACGCTACGATGGTATGTTGCGCGTGTGGCGCGGGCTACACTCCAGCGAGGACGAAATTGTCAGACGGCCCAGATTCGAGCTCAGGAAGACTGATGGTTTATCACGACGGCCGTTGGGGCACGGTGTGCGGAGATGGCTTTGATGACGTGGATGCCTCTGTTGTTTGCCGGGATCTGGGCTTCGGCAGAGGTGCCAAGATTTCATCTTCTTTATATGGGTCAGGAGTTGGACCTATTTGGCTGAACAATGTTGCGTGCAATGGCACCGAAAACAGCTTATTCCATTGTGCTTACGACTTGTCCGGGAACAGCGAGTGCGACCACAGCCAGGACGTCGGCATTCGTTGCGAGGCTATTTGCGAGGACCGTACACATGGTATTACTGACCAGCTGGGTTACGATTGTCGTTTTTACCATGGTCATGTTGAACATTGCGGCGTCTATGATACTACCAATTTTACAGCCAGTGTGATGTGTTGCGTATGTCGCACTGCGTCTCACCGTCCTTCATTATTCAATGGGGATTTTGAAATGGGCGTAACCGGGGAAGTACCAATGCTTTGGGTAAGCAATGGTTCAAGTGGAGCAGGTCCAGTTTTGACTCAAGAAGAATCTCATAGTGGACTAATGTCGGTCCTATTCTCAGGGCCGGGTTGGCAAACGATCCAAGTCGGCCCAGGCGAGGGCACGGATCTGACCGTAACAGAGGGGGTTGCGTATGTCTTGTCGTTTTCTGCCTTCGCGCTTGTTTCTGGTCAATCAGTGCGCACCGCGTTCGTTGTGTATCCAGACTCCACGTCCACGAGAGAGTGGGATCACAGGCTGGTGACTTTGGCTGGAAACAGCACTCGGTTCCACCCCGTGTTTTCCCTTGGGCAGTGGGTCAAATACGAACATTTTTTCATCGCAGGTGAGAGCACTTCTTCTTTGCGTTTGAACATCGGGTCACGCGATGCAATACAGCTCTACATTGACAATGTGCAGTTCAGCATGTACCCGAACTTGTTGAGTGACATGTTCTACGTGACAACAGAGGCTGACGCATACGTAGCTCCTCCAGATTGCTCAGGCGACTTAGACGATGATGATTTCACAGCCAGCGATCTTTGCTGCACTTGTGGAGGAGGACGCACAACATGGAATACGTGCGAGTGGGTAGAGACAAGTTCAGTCGGAGTCGAAGAGTCGGTCGGAAATGTGACCTCGCCAGAGGAGTGCGTGTCGGCAGTCCGGGCGCAGTGCCCAAATGCAATAGCAGCCAGTTTGCCAACTCTTGGTGCCGGGCCGTGCTATTGCGGTCATGCTTACCCGTATCCGAGCAAAAGTGGTTGGGCAACGTGCATTTTAGAGTTTGCTGAACAGACAGATGTGCCGCTTACTCGTGAAGACCCACGCGCATCTTGGACTGTCGACTATGGGGAGTGCACAGTGGATGACTTGTGCGTGTACAGCAGCAAGCCTCTTGGTTTTCATGCCTGTAGGCTTTTTGCCAATGAGCCTATCTCTAGCTACCCCCTGTCTGTCCACACATTCGACCTTGATCCTTTAGTAGACCAGTTGTATGTGAATGGAGTTCGCTACAAATCTGGCCAGGAGCTCAATGGTATTTTGCCAACTGGGGACATTCTATGGTATACGCACAGCACTGGGATTGGGGCTGGTTGGGTATTATGCGCCGAGCCCCCGTCATTGTGCACTGACTCAGACAATGGAGCAACAGATGTGCATTCTTTTGACTGCGATGCGTATACATCGTCCGAACAGTTGTGTACCACAGAAGTTCTAATAGGTTACCCCGCCATACCCCGGACGAAATACGATACTGACATTGGTGTTCTTGTTGCGGCTGCTATTCCCATGGGCGTGACTGGAACAATGACCAAACTTGAGTTCTTCGCTGCCCATGCGGGAGCGTTCTCCTTCACAATCTGGAGACCAAGCGCTACAGAGGCTTACACGTGGTATTTCGTTGACGAAATGTATGGCTCTACAGTTGGAGGATATACATCCGTACTTACTTCCATACCTGTGGAAGAAAGCGACATCCTCGGATGGTCACAAGACGATTTCCCCATTGTGTACGACGAGGGAGGTGCCACGCTTTATCTTCGACTTCAGTGGTACCTCGAGCGCAAGTGCACGCACCTCACACTGTGTGGAGTTTGAGCGAGGGATGGGGAGAGGGGCACTGGTAATTGGATTCAAAAACAGAGTTGTGAATTGAAACGACCGTTTTTTTGAGTTCAAAAACACTTGCCGTTGAATCCAAAAGCGTGTTTTTGAATTTAAGTGTTTGTTTTTTGAATTCAAGAACTTGTTTTTTCGGAGTCCACGGAGCAGCAGGAGGGGCAGGCGGCACGCCCGTGGCAGGCAGCGGTGCTGGCACGCCCCCATGGTGCGGCCACCGTTCTCTCACGACGGTGCCTGCGGACGGGATGGCGTCCGTTTTCGCGAGGGAGCGCTCAGTGGGTCTGATTTCGCGCAAGGGGGGGGCGGAGGACGGGGCGAAGGAGGATGGGGGAGCTGCTGATCATGATTCTGGTGGGAAGCGATGGCGATCATGGTGACGACGGTAATACTGATGCTGATGATGATGCTGATGATGCTGGTGATGATGATGGTAACGGTGATGGTGGTATTGATTGGTGATGATGATGATGATGCTGATGCTGATGATGATGATGATGATGCTGATGCTGATTTGATGGTGATGATGCTGCTGAGGATGATGATGACACGGAGGAATATGTAGTAGGAACAGGAAGAGGAGGATAAGTAGGACGGGCATCAGTTGGAGGAGGGAGCATGCCGGGGAGGAGAGGTCGCGGAGCGCATGCTCCTTCCTCCTGAGAGGGAGGAGGATGACCATCATAAACCAAAGGTTCATCAACGATGCTGCAATTCACCCTTCCTCCATGTTCCCTTTTCATGTGCCCCTACAATGTTTTAATTGCGGGAAGTGCCCCATTGAAAGACAGCCATTTGAAAATCTTCAATCGCACTGGAACGCAATTCCTTGGACGAAGGCCATGGCTGTTGCGTGATTGTTGCGTCCTCTCAACCTTAGATCGTTCCAGAACGCCAATGCTGCGAATCAGCTTGACTTTGCGTCCTGACTGTCGTAACTCGTGACATGGCGCAGCTTTTGATATTAACGCTGAGAAAGTAGCCGCATTTTGAAAAGAAGC